TTTAATCACATACTTCAGGTAACAGAATATGCAGAAACACAATATTCACGCAACTCGCCTGTCAAAGTCAAATCATGTCTGTCTGTCTGTCCTTCACTCTTTTTGCACCACACATCGCACTCAGAATATTGATAAAATATGCACTTTCCTTTCATAACTTCTCACTATTTCATCATAGCAGTAACACACACAAACACACGCACTCACCATACAAGACTTACATACATGTTAGTGAACAGTATGAAATAATTACTAAAGGTAAAAAATGCTGTTACTGTTATATAAATAATCATAATGGAACAGCAAATGATCAAAATGCAAATATTTTTGTACTACCTAACATTGTCACTTACACTGAAGAGAAAATGATACAAGCTCCAAGTACAGTGTAACGTAACAAATCTATCACTGATACAATTTCTTAGCCCAAAACACACTGCTATGATGAATTGCGAAGAAAAAAAAAGTATCAATGAGAATAAAAATCACTGTGACTGTGATGAAAAAATCTACAACTTCAAGTACAAGAACCCATTGAATGAAAGGGGAGATAAACCTAACCACAACATGACCAAAAAAAAACGTCGCATAAATCTAAATGATTTCCTAGATGATGAAAGATACACACTTTGCTATCTTAGCTCAATCATTTGCTCTATTCTTCACAACATGAAAGTGCAATTAAAACCTCGCAAGAAAAATTACAGTTTTCTACTCTCGCCATGTATTCTGTAAGAAGTATTTTTTAAAAACAACAACCCGAAACAAAGACACAAACAACCCAACCACACAAACAACCCAACCACACAAACAACCCAACCACACAAACAACCCAACCACACCAGCTGTGCACTCATGCCTGACTGGCTTTCTTGGCTTGCTGGGCTGCGATCCACTGCCTTTCTTGTTTGATTTCCAGATGCTCAATGTAGTCGTCAATTATCTTTTGCTGGTGGATGGAAGAAAAAAAAATATGACATCTTATATATATAAGTGTTGAAAGTGAGAATACTCACATGATATAGTCAGTGGCGGTGGGTGGACCCAAATTTGGCTGGGGCTTAGGTTGCTACCAGATCTTTACCACCAAATAGCAAGAAATAAGAATTAAACAGTGATGATTTGTCTATACTCACGGTGAGCCACGGCAGTTTGAAAACCATTCAAGCGAGAAGAGTTGCCTTTGTTTTCCATCTCTTTGTTCTTAGTTAAATTCTTGTTGATTCACCTCCAAATTTCCTCTAATTAGTTTTCGTGTGATGAAAAAGTTGCCTTACAAAGTAGTTCGACCTGATTTATAACTGTTAAATCTCAGCGGCACAAACACAAACAAGCACACACAGCACTTCAAACGTAATAATTCTATGAGCTGGATTAGGCCGTGTAGTCGAGAAAGTTGAACGCACCGAACAAAGAACCAATGAGCGCATAGGTATCTGTGTCAGTGGGGGAAAGTGTGTCGTAAACTTTCACCCCATTGTCAGGGCTAGGAGAGCGTGAGCCCTTGGTACAGTTTTATTTTTCCCCAGTCTTCTACCTTTTTACAAGAAGAGTTTCATGAAGGACGGGCTGTGGGAAAAGGGCTCATCTTTGCTGAGCCCTAAAAACCTTTGATTGGTTGCTGGGTTACTATAGTAGTAAGCGGTGACAACAGTGATTGGATAACTTCGGATAAGCAAGCAAGCCGCCAAGTTGATCACTCTGTGTTCATTGCGTGCGGTCATAACGGTTTCAACTGCTTATTTCATTATGGAGAAACTTTCATTTACTTTGGGATAGAGTTGGGGGTGGTGGGTGGGGAGGGGGTAGGGGCTCAAGCCCGTGAGCCCTTCACTACCCACCGCCACTGGATATAGTCATAAACTACTAATGGAGGTAACTCCAGATTCGAGCTATTAGAATGTTATTTCTGTCTCCTGAAACGACAAAGTGTCTTTAGCCTAGAGGAAAAGGTCCCTTATTGTAAAGCAAATAAAATCCTATAAAACATCAATTACACAGAAATAGTGCCGCACATATATTACACACATTGACATTTGAGTTCAAGAAAGATTCAAATTTCTACCACCTGTAACAAATCTTTGTAGGGATAGTGTTAAAATCAGTGGATTCATAAAATGAAAATGAATTAAGTGAACATTCTTCCAGTGGACAAGTTTTGAGAAGCAGTCTGATCTTGTTGTCACAAAAGAAAAATAAGAGCATGTGTGTTTTTTACTGTCTCTGTGAAATGAGGTCAAACAGAGCTACTTCTTTTTCTCGACTGACAGAGACACTAACTTATATATATATATATATATATATATATATATATATATATATATATATATATATATATACACCCCATCAAGTAGTAGTAGAAGTGGAGTATAACAAGAGTATAGAAAAAAAAACCCAAAACCCCACTCAAGCGAAGCACAATAACTTTACAAAAGTTTCTTCAAAGTAAAAAGTTACAATTCCCTGACAAGAACCCGAAGAAAGACAAAGAAAGCCCAACATAAATCAGTGAAAAGACAGTAAGAATTTAAGACATAAAACCCCCCACCCCCGCAAATAGATAAATAAATTAATTAATCAATTAATTTTAAAAAAAATTAATAAATAAATAAATAAAAATAGGAAAGACATAAGTATAAAAGAAAGAAAACCACAGGCTATTGAGAAAAAAAAACACCCCTGCTCTCTATGACAAATTGTCCTGTGACAAGATACTTACTGCATTTGGATCTACCGCAGGGAATATCCTCTCCTGAAACAAGGAAAGAGGAAAGAAAACAAGAGTGAAAAGTACAAATTTTTTATATATCAATTCAGAAGGCCTACCAAAACTAATCAGACAACAACAAAAAATATTTTGATATCAATTCACATTTTCAGAAGAATGATATCTAACATCTTGTTGAATTTAGTCTCAAAATGAAGCCGTAGCTCTGTACATTAGCTGAATTCATTCCAAGTCATCCTATATAATGGTGTTTTATTGACTAGTTATACACTGCTGCCAGCAAAATACATGTAAAATATAACAAAGTAAAGTTTGGCAACAGAGACAATCTAAGAATCAAACTGCGGCACCACAAAAGTGCGTATTTTCAAAGACAGTACATAACAAGATGGTCCACTCAGCCAAAAAGAGTCCACCCCACACCTGAGCACCCACCAACCACCCACAAGAACATATTAGAATTTGAAATACAGTAGAAGACATGCAATCTGAGACTTAGGATAAACCATTTAATCACATACTTCAGGTAACAGAATATGCAGAAACACAATATTCACGCAACTCGCCTGTCAAAGTCAAATCATGTCTGTCTGTCTGTCCTTCCGATAGACATACAATGTAGATCTAGCAATAGGCCTACATATTGTCACATTGTGTCATTCATTCAGTCAGGTGGGCCTGTAGCAACATGTTGAGGCTGGGAATAGTTTACGAAGCTGACGGAAGACAAGGTGTGTGTCAGGGACGAGGCAAAATCATAAAAACAGATCGACGACAAATGAAGATAAACAGCTGGATATACAATGGGGTGCAACTTACAAAGTTCAGAATCCTTTCAACAGTCTTCTTTTGAAATTTCGGCATGACTGAGAACAAATAGAAGACCAAGCCGAACATCATGTAATGGTTTGTAAACAGAGAAAAATTTCCTAAGGGGGGCAACTCTCGAATCTAAAATATTGGGTTTTCCAATTGCCAGATTGGATTCTAAGTCTGTACGTTTGAGCCAAGGCCAAAACAGGCGAACTCGATGGCAGGCCTACGATTCAGTATAATAAATAAAAATTAAAAAATTTCAACAAAGTGCTATAAATTTCTTTATCGATCGTTTCATTTAATGTCTACTACCAGCTAGGCTAATCCCTGAAAAAAGGGTTTTTGTCAGCCTACCCAAACAGCAGATTGGTACACTCCCATA